ACTGGCTGCGTCCTCAGTCTGCGACCGAGATGAGGTGTTTCTTAGGGATGACCAGCTACTACCGCAATTTTGTAAAGAACTATAGCATAGTGGCCTCCCCTTTCACTGACCTGACGCGCCTTGACACCCCATGGGAGTGGAAAGACAAGTGTGAGGCTGCTTTCAGGCATTTGAAGCATGTGTTGACGCACCATAAGGTCTTGAAACTTTCTGATCTTGACAAGCCGTTTACAGTAACCACGGATGCTAGCCAATATGGCATAGGCGTCGTGCTCGCGCAGCAGGAGGGGCCAAAGTTGAGGCCAGTTTGAGTACATGTCCAAAAAGATGCCCTCTCAGAAGTTGGCTAAGTCCACCTATGAGAAGGAGCTCTACGCGATTTACAAGGCACTGACCCATTGGAGACATTATCTCCTTGGGAGGTTCTTCATCGTCAGGACTGATCATCAGACCCTAAAGTGGATGAGAACTCAGCCTATGCTCTCTGATGCCTTGAAGCGCTGGATCGAAGTCGTTGAACAGTATGACTTTGAACCCCAGTATGGAGGGGGAGTACAACAAAGTTGTTGATGCCTTATCACGTAGGCCTGACTTCTCTGGTGCGCTGATCACTGAGTTCGGGCTTGCGGACGATGTCACTCGTTCTATGGTGGAAGCCTATCGCGAGGATCCGTTTATGTCTAAGATCATTCGCCGACTCGAGGCGAAGGACAAAGTGACTTCTGCCGAGTTTGAGTTGGTCAACGGCTTGTTGTTCCTTGAGAAGGTTGGGAATAAACGTTTGTGTGTGCCTAATAGAGAGTCTTTGCGCAGTTTATTTTTAGGAGAGTGTCATGACCCCACCGGCAATTTTGGTTTCAAGAAGACTGCAGTTAATTTGTTGTAGCGGTTCTGGTGGCCCACGATGATGAGAGACGCGAAGCTGTACGTGGAAACTTGTCAAGTCTCTTAGAGGGACAAGCCACGTACACAGGCTCCTCTTGGGCTTTTGAAGCCCCTTCCGGTTCCGGAAAGGCCTGGTGAAAGCCTGTCCATGGACTTCATCGATACGCTGGTCACCAGCAAGAGTGGGATGCTCTACGTCTATGTCATTGTGGATAGGTTTAGTAAGTACGCTAGGTTAGTCGCAATGCCTGCAACAGCTAAAACTGAGTATGTGATCAAGCTCTTCAAATAGAACTGGGTCAGAGATTTCGGACTGCCTAAGTCTATAATCAGTGACCGGGATGTGCGATTCACCGGTGAACTGTGGAAAGCTGCAGCTGCAGAACAGGTCACGAAGTTGCAAATGACATCAGGCAATCACCCAGAGGCGAATGGGCAGGCAGAGCAGTTGAACCGCGCTGTCTAACACCTGCTGAGGCATTACATCAAGCCAAATCAGGTAGACTGGGATGAGAAACTCGCTCTTATCGCCAGCCTGTACAACAACACTGTGCACAGCACTACGAGAGTGAGCCCGAACAGCCTGCTACTAACTTTCAAGCCTAGATGCCTTTGGACTTCCTACTACCTGAGAATCAGCCAACCGCTGCACCAGGGACCTTGGAGTTTGCTTATCGGTATGAGCACCTGATGCAGCAAGCCGTTGAGCAAATGCATAAAGCCCGGGCAGCGATGATAGAATCAGAGAACAAACACCGCCGCCCATCTACATTCCAAGTAGGGGAAAGAGTCTGGGTAAAGTCCTCAGAACTGGGACAGGAGCACGGGATCTCCTGCAAGCTCATGCCACAGTACTTTGGACCATGGAAGGTTCTAGATGTCGGGGGACGAACCGGATGGTCCTTCTTATGTTATTCGCATCCTTGGTCACTTACGCACTTACCCAGTTTTCCACGCCTCCAAGCTTGCACCTTTTGAAGAAACAGATCAGTTTCCCTCTCGTCGCTTGATGCTGCCCCCAACCATGGATGGAGAGGTCGACATCGATGACATTGTTGATCATCGGGAAATGCCAGTTCCAAGACCAACAGACAGGGGACGTCCTCCGAAACCGAAGCTGCAGTACAGGGTTCAGTTCAGACATCACACTGATCCAAAGGAGGACCGATGGTTTACCAGGGAGGAACTGATGCAGACCGCTCCTCAGGCTGTGGCCCAATATGAAAAGTCCCTGCAGAAGGGAAAGCGCCAGATCATCGAAGACTTCTCAGAGGACTAGCGAAGTATGGAGAAGGGAATGCGAGGCACAAGGCCTCACTAAGCCCCACCGGGCCCCTATTTGCAACAGGTCGGCTGCCCTAAGTGAAGGCAGGCTCGACAGGCGACAAGAGGCCTATTTTGGACTACTTCGCAACTGGGGTAAAAATTCAAGCAGTGGCGCAGCGCAGGCCCTGGGCGAGATACGCAGCATGGACCCAACTCAGACTGTGGGCAGTTGGGCATGGGACTGTCGGTGGCCCTGGGCCTGATTCGTTTGGACTGAGGCTCAGCCTCCCTGGGCCTACGGAAGCTTCTAGGCCGGGGCCCGGTACCGCAGCACAGCACACAGCAGCAGGCCACTTCGATATAGGGAAGGGCCTGCCCACGCACTGGATATTCAGGGACTGGCTGCATGCTGCGCAAGCGCTGCTGCGCTAACGCTGGCCAGGCTCACGCGCTCACGGGCAAGCTGGAAGGAGCAGGCAGCCATAGTCGAGCTGCACTGCTATATGCTGGATGGGGCGCAGGGTGGTCCTTGGGTGCAAGTGGCATCTGTGAGTTGGGGAACGAGGTTGTGAGTGATACGAGAGACATACCTGGTGCCTGACGCATGCGGCATGGCCGAGATCTGCTCGTACTTGGGAAGCTGTTGACGTCATCAGTGGCATTGTAGTCTAGGCTAGATAGGATCTGCCATCCGTAGTCTAGGCGTCGAGCGCCAAATAGGATATCAACATTCATTCTTCGTTAATGATGATGAGACTATTCCAGCATTGTCAATTATGAGCTTTTGGTGTGCTCTTATTTGGTGAAACTCGTGATGCAATTCTGCTTTTGGTTCGAGGTCACGACTATCTGTCTCATGTGTATGATGCTGTTTGATTGCTGAAGTTCGCTATTGCTCGTCTTCCTTGCAAAATATTTAATTAAAGCATCTTTAAATTTGCACCACTAAAAATGAATAAAGTTTAAGCAAGATTAAACATTTAAACATAATTTTAATAATTTCACGAAATTTAATCGGGAGATTGTAGCATCATTACGAGGTCATGAAGTAAGTGGAAGATCAATGTTAGTAGGAAGATACACAATTTGCTGTAAAGATTCAACCTTTAATCGCAATAAAAGATGCATTTTGCAAAAAGTTTGAATGTGGCCGTGCTCAGGCCCGATCTGCCTTAATTGGCGCGGTGCCTGGCTGGCACTTACTTCCCATAGGCTTGATAGGCAATCGTGATTAGTGATTTCCTTAATTATGCACAGTACGGAGAAAACCGCAAAACCTAAAATTAGAACTCAAACGACCTAATTACTATGTAAGTAGAAGAAAAGAACAAATTTGCAACTTACAATTTAATGATAACAGAGTACAGGTGTGGATAATCAATCAATCAATCAATCAATGGTGAGTCATCCAATGCTGGTCTGCTCCGATACCAAACTTTTCCATACTCGTGAAACACAGTCATAAGTATGGCGCAGATTCCCAGAACCGACCAGATAATACAGAGTTAATACAAATACAGATACAGCGAAAGACTTGAGATACATGGATTGACTCGGACCTGACTCAGACTGCAACGAAACACTCACAAACATACATCGGTGGTGTGAAGCCCTGGCCTTGGACATAGAAGAAAAGGGCGGGGTGATTCTCATACACAGATGAAATGGAGGGAGGAGAGACGAAGGGAGGAGGACAGGGAAGATGACGTCAACTCAATGTTTCCAAAGATAGTATCTTGAAATGTCAGAAGTAGCGAAAATCCGAAATGTCGCGAACACAGAGTCTCACAGTGTCTCAGATATCGATCTCACAATGTCAAGGTACATCTTCAGAGGAAGATGAAATCAGATCCCAAGAGTAGTCCTCAACCTACAGTCCCAATGTCGCTGTCTCCAATATCATCAGAACTCGTAACCATCCTTCATACTCGTAGTAGTCCCGTAGGAGAACCCAGGAGTAGACTTAGACTTAGAAGGTAAGAGGAGAGAGAGAGAGAGAGTGGCGGAGGAAGAAGAGGGAGAGAAGGCAAGGCCTTTCTCCCTGGTACCTGAGCCGGTAGCTATGGCGCTGCAGATGGCTGGCGCTGGGCCGCAGGCTGGGCCGGTGGCTGGCGCTGTTCCAACTGCTGCGCTGATTCCTCCTCGCCGCTGTGCTCGTCCTCTCCTCGTTGCTCATGCTAACGCTGCCGCGCTGCGCTAATCCTGCTAACGCTGAAGTGCTGCGCTAATCCTGAAGACTAACGCGTAGACTAACCTCCTGTCTCTACTAACCTACCTGACTGAGGCTGGTACCCAGCTTATGTAGTGCTGGGTCGGCCTCAGGCCTACTGAGTGCCTTCGGGTCTGGACCATTGATCGGGCCCAACGGTTCAGATCCGATTTCGAAATCTGAATCAGTGGCGCCTAAACTGCGCCGCCGGCCGGTCCTACCGATGGACCGGTACCTGGCCTCTCCAACTAGCCGTTGGGTCTGGTGGGGTCTAAACGAGGCCTACCGGACCCTAAACTGAACCGACGGTTCCTAGGCCTACCTGGACCTATCTGGGACCGTCGTGACCCGGTACCTAGGCCTAAGCCGTGCCTACTACAGAACCGGGCCCTAACTGGGGCCCGTGTGGTATCAGTATGCCACAGAAAAGGACATGGACAGGGACAGGGACAGGGAGGGGGGGGAGAGGGGAAGGGAGAGGGAGAGGGACAGGGACAGGGAGAGGGAGAGGGAGAGGGAGAGGGAGAGGGACAGGGACAGGGACGGGGGAGAGGGGAAGGGAGAGGGAGAGGGAGAGGGACAGGGACAGGGAGGGTACAAAGGGTGAAATAGATGCTGGGGGTGCTGGGCAGAAACGAACCTGCAGTTTTTCCAATTCCTTGAGAGGCTCGCATGTTGAGTCGTCGGTCTCAGGGATCTCCATTTTACCTTATATATAGATATTAAAACCAAAAAAAAAAAGCCTTTCTTCAGAGACGTGAAATGGAGGGATTACGTCGCATCTATTCTCCCGTTCCGTTGGTGCCTGGACATGGATTCATTAACAGCAGTAAATCAACCTGCAACAAACGGAACGATAACCAAAAAAGTCGCCTTTTCGTTCAGAAATGCCATCCATGCGCACAGATAATCATATTCGAAACACAAAGTACCCCTTTAATCTGTCAGTGCGCTTGAACAGATCGTGTGCCTTGAGTTCCTCGCTGACCTCCTCTTCCTCTTTCAATGCTAATCTTTTCAACGTCATGAGATGAGATTACACGAGCACGCCTTTAGAGAGAGGCTGAAGCAACTGCATTCTGGAGCTGTCGATGCAGTTTGTAGTGACTTTTTACCTCGTTCATCGAGTCTAATTCTGTTCCTGTTCCCCCTTGTCCCTCTCCTTGTCCCTCCCTCCCTCTCTCTCCCTGTCCCGCGCTCCCTCTCTCTCCCTCTCCCTCCCCCTTTCCCTATCCTTCCCTCCCTCCCCTCCCTCCCCTTTTTTCCCTCTCCCTCCCTTCCTCACTCGCTCACTCGCTCACTAACCCACTCACTCACTCTCTTGTTACTGGAAACAATATGGTGCGTCGTCCCGTTTCTCTTCCTTACCTCTGCGTTTGCCTCAGATTTGGGCATGACTCAGAACTAGCGGAGGACGAGAAAGGAAATAACGAACACCTATCCGTGACAGGTGTGAATGGTGAGAAGTAGCCGATAGTAACGCCAAAACTGAGTTGCAGAATACCGACGACATTTGGGCACGTACGAAGTAGCCGATAGTAACGCCAAAACTGAGTTGCAGAATACCGACGACATTTGGGCACGTACGCCAATACTTTGGGGAGAATCGTCGCACGACGCTGTGTGCCAGAGGACTGTCCTCTGCAGGCCCCTCAAAGGTATGCACCTCTCAACGAGGGGTCCAGGCTACCGCACAGTCCAAGGCCGCAGATATTGCGCTAATTCGTATTGTCCATGGGACCATTTCTCAATTGCGCGTGCCATCCGTTGGATGCGCAGGGACCATGCTAATCTTTTCTTCTCTGTATCGTTCCCAAGGACGCTTCTCTCTTTTTTTCCCCCTACGATTGCGCCAATCCTTAGGAAGATTCTTTACCAAAAGAAAAAAAAAGTATTGACCAAGTTTTCGGGTAAAAACAAAACGATTGTTGGACAAACTTACTCCCAGCAGACCGGTTCACCGGCCAGGGGGCACACACCTCTCGTCTGATCCCGGCTATTGCGCGGGGGGTGGTTCTGTGTACGTCTGAGGAGGAAGGCGAGCAGGAGGTCTGGCGGGAAGACGAGGAAGGGTGGGATTGGGAGGAAGTAATGGAGTGGTAGCAGGGAGAGCGGGATCAACAGCGGTAATTTCCAGCGAAAAGTTGGTGTACGCATAGAAAGGCGCGCGAGGGGGAGGGAAGGAGTGTGCGAATTTGGAATCAACGAGCGAGGAGCAGGAATGAACGCCGAGCCAAGAGAGGGGGCCAGGGGGCAACAGACAGCAAGGGGGAAAGGAGTGTGGGAGGATGGTAGAAGCGGGCAGAGAAGGGGCAAGGAGCCGGCGGAACGGCAAGAAGATACTGACGAGGGGGAAAAACTAGGCGAAATGGCAAAAAGCGGCAGAGAGAGGAAAGGATGGGCGGGAGGACGGGGGAAGGCGGGGCGGAGGAGCGGGGCCGTGGGGCAGGGAGAAGTGGGAGCGAGGGGGAAAAGTGCCTGAGAAAGGAAGGTGAAGAGCGAGGCACACACATAGAGCTATTGTTCTTCAATTTTTTGTCCTCCTCCGTCTCCTCTCCTCTCTTCCCTTCTGATGGTCCTCTTCCTCTTTCATGGCCTTCCGATCTCCCTTCGCTTCGGACACATATGCACGCGCACAATGCGCGACTCAGAAAAATCACCCCTTTAACACTTTTGAGCTCTCAGTGTTCACCTTGCCAAACGGTTATGAGGTTGCTCGATGCGTCGATGATAAAGAGTCTTGTGTATATAAGTGCGTGTGAGAGAGAACGTGTGCGCGTGCTCACGGCGTCTGTGCGTCCTCCCCTCGATCTCTCCCATCCCTCTCCCCACTCCTCCAGCCCCTCCTCGTCTTGCCGCAGGCATTCTTGGCATCGCGAGCCGTAGATTTTTTCAAAAGTGTGCTGCGTTTGTGTGAGAGGGGAAATGACCTGGAGGAGGTACGAGGGACAGGAGGAGGAGGAGGAGCGGGAGGAAGAGCAACGGGCCAAGAGCGTAAGGAGGGAGGAAGAGCATAGAGAACGGGGGAGAGGAGGAGGAGATGACAAAGGATACTACAAAAGGGGGAAAACAAAGAAAGGAAATGGAGCGGAGTGGTAGAGAAGTTTAGGAGGTCTCCTTTCGACTTAACCCAAGCCCCATGGAAAGCACAGATTTTGGGGTATCCCAGAGAACCTGTAATATAACCCCAAAATCTTTGCTGTTGGGGGGGCCGCGGGCGGGGCGGGGGGGAGGGGGGGGAGCGGGAGGAGGGGGCGCAGAATCTGTGCCGTCTTTCTTGTTGTATGAAAACGTGATGGGTAGTACGGGGGCACTAGCAAATCCGCTGAAGACATGAGAGAATTAACCCACGAAAGTGCATTCATGAGGATGTCGCCCTTTGTCATTTTCAAAACAATTTATACTACATTTCGGTATTTTTGTTTTTCTAAGAATGGCGCCGCATGAAAAGGCGCGATATGTACGACAGCAACTGCAAAATTGCTGAGGCGTTGGAGCATAAACCCAAGTTGTAATTGCGCTCATGGGGAGAAAATTCTTTGCTATTTTCAAATTAACGATTTTATATGTTAGTGGGTGGTCTAATGATTTTTAAAGACTGGCACGGCATGAGAAAAGTGAGGGGTACGGCCGCAACACCAAATTTCGTGAGGCAGGGGAACATAAACCCACGTCAGCACGCTCAAGCGGAAGTTCCCTCTGTCGTTTGGCGGGGTAATATGTATTGAAGTTGGTTGATGAAAGTCTAGAAATGAAGAAGACGACGAAACTCGAACGGCTGCTAGTTTATCAAAAGAGCACTCGAAGACAAAGATTCCACACACTTAAAAAAGGGGGGGGAAAGGACTTCAGTGTTCACAGCACTCTTGGCTTCTCTCTCTTCACCTTCTCTCTTGAATCGTCTTCCCTTTGTCTACTATTTTCCAATGATTCTCTCCCCTCGTTAGCATTGGATTTAGCAATCCCTTCTGCTAACAATCAGTCAAGAATTGGTTGATTAATTGTTAATTCTTGATTTGCCTCATTCCCCAGTTAATTGATCATTAGTTTCAATTATTCCATTTTCAGATGGAGCAGCAGAGCTTTCGATTATTTGCCACTTTCAGGTGATAATGCCATCATCAATCAATCGACTGCTCGTCTCCCCTCGTTAGCATTCGATTTAGCAATCCCTTCTGCGAACAATCAATCAAGAATTGGTTGATTACTTGTTAATTGTTGATTTGCCTCATTCCCCAGTTCATTGATCATTAACTTCAATTATCCCATCTTCAGAGGGACAAACAGAGCTTTCGATTATTTGCTACTTTCAGGTGATAATGTCATCATCAATCAATCGACTGCTTTGTCTACTGATTAATGGATGGATTGCTAGATATATGGATGAATGATTGAAGAGTCTACCATATGATAACGAACGCACTTAGTACATACAGTAATCCGAGCTCCTACGTTTTCTCAAAGTTGACGCTCAGGTTTGCCGCGACAGGTCAATTCTTCAAAACTCACACAGAAACACTCAATCAACACATATAAGTATGTATCGTAATAGAGAACTGCCTGGTGAACCGTACGCAGAAAGGGAGAAGAGGACCGAGTCATCAGGAGGCTGCACCTACGAGCGATTATTGCAATTAGATAAGACTACGTAATCGATCAGTCAATCAATCAAGCGATCAATCATTGACAGATCAATCAATCAATCAGCCACTCAATCAACTGATTGATCGTTGAATCAATCAATATTCTACGAAACACAAGCCTCCCGTTTCACGTCTCGAACGCTTCCACGTGGCTATGCCTTACACCCAGATGTATGGACCGACTCCTCCTCACCGCCTCTCTTCCCCGATTGTCCCCTCATTTAATAACGACCACCACGGTGAACCGTACGCAGAGAGGGAGAAGAGGACCGATTCATCAGGAGGCTGAACCTACGAGCGATTATTGCAATTAGATAGACTACGTAATCGATCAGTCAATCAATCAAGCGATCAATCCTCGACAGATCAATCAATCGATCAGCCACTCAATCAACTGATTGATCGTTGAATCAATCAATATTCTACGAAACGCAAGCCTCCCGCTTCACGTCTCGAACGCTTCCACGTGGCTATGCCTTACACTCAGATCTATGGACCGACTCCTCCTCACCTCCTCTCTTCCCCCATTGTCCCCTCATTAAATAACTACCACCACGATCTTCTCCTCCTCCCCTCTGCTTCCCCTTGTTCCCAACCCCTCCCTTTCGGCATACTCCTCACATCTGCGCCACCCTCCTTTCTCCCCCGCGTTCCGTCACTTTTTCTCTTCCCTTGTCGTTGTGAAACCTCCCCCCTACCCGGTACGCCGAGCAGCTAGACGGAGGAGCCACCATCTCTTGCCCTCCTTTTTCAGTCTCCCATAAGGCCGCGCTCAACCACTGACCAACGTGACAAAGACAACGAAACAAGGAGTGTTCCTTTATACCTTTTACCTGGGAATGCACTCGCCATTCCATATAATCGATGAGCAGTGCAGCGAGGTCCATAGTTCCTTTGATAGTCCGGCGACCCATTCTCTTCCTGACACAAATCTGCACGCCAACACCACCCAGCCCCGGCAACAAGTCCACCCACTGCCCAACTGCGCAACGACTGATTGATCGATCATTCATTTTGTACAATTGAATAGACTGATTGCCTCATTGATTGACAAGTTAAATAGATTGATTGCCTCATTGATTGACTGGTTGCATGGATTGATTGCCTCATTGATTGGTTCACTGATCGATCCAACCGTAAATCGATTGAAATTGCTACAATGACAGGTAGTCGATGATCAAGAAAGGCAAGGAAAAACGACTCCTCCTTCGAATGCCCAACCCCTCTTCCTCCTGCTTGAACGTTAGGAATGCATCAATGAATCGATCAGTTCAACTAATCAATCAGAACGGCTCATCGACCTCAAGAAATCCTTTCCACAACCAAAAAAAGAAACAGTTTCCGCATCCTCCTCCCCTCTTCTCCTCATACCTTATTGGCCCTCTTCCTCCGCATGTTCTCTTCAATACTATCCTCCCCTGCTCCCAGTCTCCTTTCTTCTTGACAGTTAAGATGTAGAGCGGGAAAGATGATGCAGAATGCGAAGGCGCGGGAAAAGAAGCGGCCCCTCCTCCATCAGGGAGTCCGTTGATCAAGGAAAAGGACATCCAAGACTGCTGCCCCAGCACCAACACCTCCTTCCTTCCTTCCACAGCTTTTCCCCGATAGCTCCAAATGAAAAACCAATTAAAAGGTCACCTAAATGGCCAATACTAGGTTTTTTTACTTTGTTTTGAGCCATTGCGGCTAATGCTGTTCTGTACTTCAAGCCCAAGTTCACCATCCTTCGATGCTCCCCCGCCTCTCTCTCTCTCTCTCTCTCTCTCTCTCTCTCTCTCTCTCTCTCTCTCTCTCTCTCTCTCTCTCTCTCTCTCTCTCTCTCTCTCTNTCTATCTATCTATCTCTCGCGCGCGCGCGCACCAACTGCGTCTCGCCTACGGACAAAGCTCTCCGCAAAACGTTGGCAGGAAAAGAATTCGTTATACCTCACCCGTTGTGCCTGCTTTGCGAGTGCCTCATGTCACGCAGTGCACACTGAAATGAACAAACGCAGGCACACAAACATCGTCCACATGAGAAGAGGGAAGAAAAGGGGCAACAAAGCTCACGGGCATAACTCACCTATTCGTCAACTTCGCCAGGGAACCACGTCATGCAGCCGATCGTCTTCGATCCCCCAGCTCTTCCGCCACTCTTTCCCTTCGCTCACTCACCCTCCTCCCACTCTACTCCCCATCCCGCCTTCTGCTTCTCAGAAACGTACCCACACCCACGTCAGGTCTCTGTCACCCCAATCTCGCCTCTCGACGTGACATAGACGGAGGGAAGTCCCAACGTGCGCATTCCTCGGACGCACACCCAGGGAAGTCCCAATGTGCGCATTCCTCGGACGCACACACTGCGCTCTCTCTGCACTGCACTTGACCCCTCAATTCTTTTTTCTTTTTCCTTTTTTTTTCTTTTCTTTCTTTTTTTTCTTTTTTTTTTCTTTTTTTTTCAATTTCAAAAGGATGAGGGGAGGCCGGGGGACCTCACAATTCCACCCGGAGTTATCCCGCAGCATCAGCCGGTTTCGCTTACAGCCGTCAGGGCTGGGTTCCCTTGAAATAACTACATAACCTCATAGAAGACTGACTTCTCCAATTACTCTTCCTTTAGCTAGGAACGCTGCTCACGACACATCCCTCTCTCCCAGCTGTATCCCTACACCCCCTGTCTACTTATACCTCTACTGTGAAAAGTCTTGAATCTGCTAAACTCCCTGTAGATCCTACACTACTGTACACAGGCCTACACCGGCCTAAGATGACCGGTTGGAACTCCAAAGTTCCTAGCAAACCGTGGCACTCTACCACCCACCACCCCTGTGTGACCTCCTGCCGTCGGCATCTCGAACCGAGATACCCTGGTTCATGGACCTAACAACCTACTCCACTAGTTCATCCTGTCAACCACTTAGAGACTACCAACCCTCGTGAAGTGTGAACGCCTGCCAGTTGATTGCCTTTCGCCCAGGATCGCAGAAACCACCAAAGATGCTGCTTAGAGCCTTTTCCGCATTTTGCCTTCTTCCTCCAATCTGCCCACAGCGCTCTTCTCAGACCTCCCTTTATTTTCTGTCTGAATCTCTCGATCCGAGACCGGTCTCCTCTCGAATCTAGACCGGTTTCTATCCGCCCAGATAACCGAGCACATAACTCCCCTCGAAACCTGGGCTATATAGGGCCATCCCTTCGTCCGCCGCTGTTCATCCTGTACCAGACCCAGCAGAACCCAACGCTCTTCCCATTCTATGCCTACTCCCCCCATTCTGTTCCAATGGTCCTCCCACCATTTCCAGATCCTCTTAGAGGCCGGGCAATCCCACCACAGATGTCTGGTCAATTCAAAGGGCCAGGAGCATCTGGAGCACTATCCCTCTGCTGCAAAGCCACTCTGCCGAAGGCGTAACCAGCAGAGATAGCATCCAAAGGAGGCTCGATAGCCGCAGATCTGGTAGGGTATGGAGGACCGTCCACTGTTTCTCAAAGTCCCTTTCCTTTCCTTGCAGATCCTCCAACAGTACAGTACCCCTCAATTCTCATTCTCGTCTGTTGGCCCACCTCGAAGCCCCAGTCAAACACCACTGCGTATTGAGCCAACGGCTCTTGAGATAGACAATGGTTACGCTGACTCGCTAGACACCGCGGTGACAACACTGCCCGTCTGCGTTACCTGAACGGGGTAGGACAAATGGAAGTCTATGGGATCGGGTAAAATAGTACAGAATAGATCTGTAAACAAACTGCGGAAGCAYTTAGACAATACCTCATGGCTATGGCTGTAAATACGTGATTAGCGTTGGCTGGACTATGTTGTAAATACTCGATTAGCGYTGAATGGACAGTGCAGGGCAAATAGCTTCTGGGAGGATGCCTATCGGATTGGGCAATTCAGTAGAGAATAGGTTTGTGCAATAGCCGGGAAAGCACTTAGAAGACGCCCTATGGCTATATTTGTCAATCCGCGACGAGGAAATGGGACTGTGTATGGCAAATGGGTCTTGGGGTAGATGTCTGTGGGATTGGGTAATTCAGTAAAGAATAGATTCCTAAATTTCCTGTGTAAACACTTAGGAAGTATCCTGTGGCCATCGCTCTGAATACGTGAAGAGAGAATTGACTATAGAAGGAAATTTGCGTTGCGCAAACAGGACGGTGCAGGGCAATTGGTTTTTTTTTTTTTGGAGAAGACGCCTGTGGGATTGAAAGATCCAATAGGGAACGCATTTGTAAATCAACTGTGCAAGCTTTAGAAAGTACCCCTTGGCTGCTGTTGTAAATACGCGTCCAGACAATCGACTACAGTATAYGCGMTGTATTGGGCCCGGACTCGTCTACTGAACCCGAACAGGGTATAGTTGTGAACACCAGTCGATGCAATACAGTGCAGGACAGAAAACAGGGCAATTGGATTTAAGGTGACAACTAAGGGACCGAGTGCCTAGGACGGGTGAATAAAATGGGATTTGGGGGGACACGGGCTGGGCCTGGGCGTACTGAAACCCACTAGGTTATGGATACACAGAACAGATCCGGTAATAGGTACTACTCATCTAAGTAAGCCGATTGACCGGAGACTCGGCAGCGGATAGGCCTGTAATGACAACTTGAAGCCATAATAGGGGCAATCGGATGTATTCCGACATAGGTGGTAAGGTATGAGTGATCTAAGAGACAACGACCTACAAACAAGGCTTCCCGAGCTAGGAACGATCTACGCCATGCAGAAAACTGTA